CCTTAGAGTTGTTCAATTTTAAATTTTTGTAGTCTGTTCCGATTTATATCTCGGAAATGGCTGCGTTCAAATACAGAGGTGCCCTGAACATGATGTTCCAATTGTCGATCACAGTCGGAATCCTCGTCGCCAATTTGTTGAACTACTACTTTTCTCAGGTTAACGGTGGCTGGGGCTGGCGTTTGAGCTTGGGTCGAGCCTTCATCCCCCCCGCAATCATCTTCTTCGGTTCATTTCTCCTCCCGCTGCTCCCAACTCCTTGCTTGAACGTGACGAAGCCAAGGTCCTACTCAAGAAGGTTCGCGGCGTCCCCATTGTTGACGAGGAGTTCAATGATTTGGTGGCTGCGAGTGAATCGTCGAAGCAGGTTAAACACCCTTGCGCAACTATCTTCTCCCAGAGTTACAGACCGCACCTCACTTTTGCCTTCGCCATCCCCTGATTCCAGCAGCTCACGGGCATGAACGTGTTCGTCTTCTACGTCTCGGTTCTGTTCAAGAGCATGGGGTTTGGGAGCAACGCCGCGCTCATGTCCCCCGTGACTACCAGTGTTGTCAATGCCTTTGCAACCCTCGTTTCCATAGTGACAGTAGATAAAATTTGACGAAGGAAACTTTTCATAAAAGGCGGAATTCAAATGTTCATTTGTCAGGTACGTACAACCTATTTAATTTGTTTATAAGGCAACAAAAATACTTGATGTGAATTAATGATTTGTCTATGAAACTAAATTAGGTTGTGATGACGGTTTCAGTTGCGTGGAATTTGGTATAAGTGGCAACCCTGGCGTGCTGCCAAAGTGGATCTCAACATTGGTCTTGGTTGTCAGGTGTGTGTACATTGCCGGCTTTGCGTGGTCGTGGGGTCCCCTAGAGTGTGGCTAATTCCCAGTGAAATCTTCTCGTTGGAGGTCCGTTCAGCTGCTCAGAGTATCAATGTGTCCATGAACATGATCTTTACCTTTGCAATTGCACAAGTCTTCACAGCCATGCTTTGCCACTTGAAGTTTGAACTGTTCATTTTCTTTGCATTCTTGGTGGTAATGATGACTTGGTTCATTAATAAGTGCTTATCGTAGACAAAAGGGGTGCCAATTGAAGAAATGACTATTGTGTGGAAATAGCACAAGCACTGGGGCAAGTACTTTGTAGTAGAGCAGGACTTTGAGATGGCTAAGAAGCCAACAGCAACAAGTCTTTGAATCATTAGGCTTTTGGGGTTAAGAACAGGCAATTTGTGCATACCCCCTTCGCTTTTGTTTTGTTTTGGGTCATTGGTTTGATGTGCAGGAGTCTAGCTACGTGATATTTTTTTTTATCTTTTCTTTTCTTGCCTTCTTTGAGGCTAAGGCAAATTGCTTTAGTCTCTCTTTCCATACCATCAGCTCTGGTTTAGTTCTGTTCATATTGTCATTTCCCAAATTGTCTCTGCAATTGTAGATTCCCTGTGGCCTGCTTTGTTAATGGATCATAAATTGGTAAATTATCTTCATTCGCTTCCCAAATTAAGGCCACCCTCATCTCCTAAAGCCCATTTTAATTTTGAAGTCTAAGACACTAGTTTCAAAGCTCTCTGGATCTACTCTACAATGCATGTATATTCTTTCTTAACGAACGCCTAAGCCCAATAGAGCCCAAAGCAATGAGGAATTTGAAGTATGAACTCTCCCAACCAAAACCCCCTAAGTTTTTCGCAGCAAGAGGGAATTAATTAGACTACCAAGAGTTCGGTATTTAAGAGTT